CTTGTTGTGAAAAGATGGCTATGTACCTTAAGACAAAAAAAAATAGGAACCCCGCCCACCCACCCTATCTCAATTCTGATGATTTTTTTTTATTCGTCGTTAGCCAAGAAGGCGGAGCTTAACTGCAAAATCCTTGTTTCTCTAAAAGAAATTAAAAACATTAGATTAGGTCCCACCCATAACCGCCCCGATCTCAATTCTCAATTGTGATAAATTTTTCATTCGTTGTCAGATCTAGGGGCGGGGCTTAATTGCAAGAACCATATTTGTCCACAACTCTCTTTAATCGTGATTTTTACTACTGTCTCGGAACTATAAAAGGTTATTATACAATTTGAATTTTTTAAAAAAAATGTGCATGCCTAGGCGGATTCATAAACCACAAGTGCAAGAGTATGTTATTTTATAAAATTTAAATAGCGTTTACTAAAAAAAAAATTGAGGGAACCTCGTCAATTTGTTGTAGGAATGATTACACGAATTTTGGTTAGAGTTTTAGCAATCGGTGGATAATTTCGTGGACTATTTTTGCCTAATAAAAATGGACACAAAAAACTGAAAATTCGAGACCTACTTTTTCGTACTCTTCTTAGAGGGTATGTCATTTGCCAAAATCAGTCGTAGCAAGTACGAGCCCCGCCCACCCGCCCTCTATTTTTTTAGAGAATATGTCATTATTTTATCTTTGGAATCAGTACGTCGGGATTTACATCCCTGAATTTTTTCAAAATTTTTAGACGACTTTCAAAAATGAAATTTTAGGCTATGCAAATTTCGACCCATTTTCGACGATTTTTGAAATACATTTTCTTGTAGATTTCTGACCGCAGAAGTCACTCACCTCCGGCCTCGTTTTTTCGATCACTCCAACCATTTTCAATCAGACTAGATAAAATTATCACAGAAATGGATCGGGGGTGGGTGGGCGGAGCTAAATATATGTTCTTTCGGAGAGTGGAAATGGGAACTAATAGAACGTAGGCTGTTAAAAAAAGTTTTATTTCCACTCAAGATCTCTCATAGGGAATTTTCTGCGGACTAAGAACTTGAAGTCATCTTACTCAAGATCTTCAAATCACCACCAAAAACGGGCAATAAGTTTTCAAATATTTTCAAAAAAATATCAAAATGGGTGTTACCCAGATTAAAAAAAGTGATGGATTATAGAAAATCCTTCAAGTGTATTAAGAATCTAAAGTAGTTTTCCTCGGAGATCTTCAAGTTACTGCGAAAGCGCGAAAATAATTTCCACAAATTTCCAAAAACTTGACCCCAACGGGCACTTTACAGAAGAGAAAAATGTGTTGGCTCATGAGGAATTTTCTGGCGAGTAAGAACTTGAAGTCATTTTACTCAAGATCTTCAAATCATCGCCAAAAACGCGAAATTAGTTTCCAAATATTTTCAAAAAATATCAAAATGGGCGTTATTCAGATTGAAAAAGGGATAGATTAAAGAAAATCCTCTAGGTAGATTAAGAGTATGCAGCAATGTTGCCCGAAGATATTGAAATAACTTCGAAAATACGGAAAATAATTTTCAAAATTTTTCCAAAAATGTTCTAATCGCAATGGGCTTTATCCAAGAACAAAATATGTTGGCTCATAGGGAATTTTCTGCGGACTAAGAACTTGAAGTCACGTTACTCAAGATCTTCAAATTTCCACCAAAAACGGGAAATAAGTTTCCGAATATATTCAAGAAAATATCAAAATGGGTGTTACTTAGATTAAAAAAAGTGATGGATTATAGAAAATCCTTCAAGTGGATTAAGAATCTAAAGTAGTTTTCCTCGGAGATCTTCAAATTACTGCGAAAAGCGGGAAAATAATTTTCTCAAATTTCCAAAAACGTGACCCCAACGGACACTTTGCAGAAGAGAAAAATGTGTTGGCTCATGAGGAATTTTCTGGCGAGTGAGAACTTAAAGTCATTATTTACAATTTGACACCAAATTTTAGTCGATTGGAGCAATTTTAGGTATTTTTTGGAAAAATTTTGAAAATCAAAGACTCACTTTTCACTATTATTTAAATATTTAAATGTCGTAACGGTTGATTTCGGCTTTGTAATTGACGGAAGGTTACCTACATTTTGACAGTCGTTTGAAGCCATTTTACCATTTTTTTTTTTTTGGGAAAATTATGAAAATTTTGAATTCAGTTTTCACGCTTCTTTGAGTAGACGTCATGACGGGGATTTTGGATTTGTAATTGGCTCATGATTTTCTACAATTTGACTCTAATTCTCAGTCGATGAAACCCATTTTAACCATTTTTTTGGAAAAATTTTGAAAATGTTTGAACTACATTTTCACGCATATTTAAATAGATATCATTAGGGTGATTTCCGATTTGTAATTGGTGAAAATGATCTACAAATTGACACCAATTTTCAGTCGATTGAACCTATTTTAACCGATTTTTTGAAAAAATTTTCAAAATTAAGAACTCATTTTTTACGATGATTTGAATTCATGTCGTGACGGCGGTTTCGGATTTGCAATTGGCGGAAATTTATTTACAATTTGACACCAAATTTCAGTCGATTTTAGATATTTTTTTGGAAAAATTTTGAAAATTTTAAACTCACTTTTCACGATTATTTGAAGAATACATATCGTGACGGTGATTTCGGATTTGCAACTAGCGGAAGTTTATCTACAATTTAACACCAAATTTCAGCCGATTGGAGCAATTTTAACCTTTTTTTTGGAAAAATTTTTAAATTTTTAGACTCACTTTTCGCCTTTATTTAAACAGTTAAATGTCGTGACGGTCATTTAGGCTTTGTAATTGACGGAACGTTGGGTAGAATTTGACAGCAATTTCCAGTCGATTGGACCCATTTTAACCGTTTTTTTTTTGGATTTTTTTTTAATATTTTAAAGTCACTTCTCTTCTCTCTTCGACTAATTCTAACAATTGCTTTTCTTCATTATTTTCACTTCTATCTTTGGATCTTCTTTTTCCAATATTTTATCTTAGGAAGTACTAGCCCCGCCCTCCCGCCTTCTATTTTCCTAGAAAGCATGTCATTTGCCACAATCAGTCCTATCTTAGCAAGCATTAGCCCCGCCCACCCACCCTTTATTTTCTTACAGAATAAGTCATTTATCAAAATCAGTCTTATCTTAGCAGGTACTACTCATACAAACAATTTTATTTCTGTTGAATATAAATATCCACTTGTCAGACTAGATAAAATGAGTCACTGAAATCAAAGCGGGGTGGGTGGGTGGGGCTAAATATATATTATATAAACTATATAGGTTATATAAATTTTGACCCATTTTCGACGATTTTCTAAATTTAGCTAAATACATTTTCTGGTATATTTCGGGCCGCAGAAGTCACTTTCGGCCTCATTTCTTCGATAACTTCAACTGTTTTTCCTGAATCGCCTGCTTATTGAAATATCGGGATTTTTAAAAATTAAAAAAAAATTGGAATTTCACACCGAATCTTGGGTTCGGATTCTATAATAATGATAAATAATAATAAAATGGTTTACGTTCGGGGAATAAAAATAAAAAAAAAAATTCAAATAAAAAAGACAATATTTTAGGTAGTGTTAAGTTTAAAAGGATGCTCGTACTATCCGTTTGAAGGTAAAAGGTGTGTTTGGCCTCCTCCGATGCATAGGTTACAGGTACATGGATGTTCGTTCATTGTTAAAAACTTCCAAGTCAGCGGATCTAAGCTATGAAGGTTGGCAATGAACTTCTATGAAAAAGTTAGAGCTCTCGTACTGAGCGCGATGTGTATAACAATGATTTTTTTCTAGTTTGTTGAACCATTTTGTTTGAGATTCCTTCGATAAACAATAAAATATCCTGCATATGTTTATACAACAGATAAATTTAATTTTCAAAGCAAAAACAAACAACAGTTGGAACTTTTATTTCTGCAGTAAAATATTGGTATTGTCGGCGAGTTTACTCGTTTTAGTAAAAAAGGCAGGAAGTTATTCTATTGTCTTAAACAATTAACTATTTTTAGTTTCAAGATAGCTTGAAAAAGGTCAAGCGTTATTACATTCTTCACAAAAATCACCAGAAACATTGCTTCGACGACTTTCTATTGTATTGTTTGCATCTACGGCCATTTTAATAATTCCGACAAGCCGTATCACACAAGACTTTCCACACTTTTCCTTAACCCGTCATGATCCCGGAAAGGCGAACTTAACACGAAAAAAATCCCCCAATACCAATCAATAATGGAAATTTCCTCCAAACCCCATCTGCCTCCCTCCTCACGCACTTCCTCCCCACACCCACCATAACTTTTCCGGTGATGATTAGCAACACGATAACCGTTTTTCCCCGCTCACGTGATACCACAAAATTCGGCTTTCCATACAGAAGCAGCCGGAGCGGCGTTCGGAAAATCGTGTGAGATTTAACCGGTGGCACGTCGGTGGAAATGCATTAGCGCGATTTTGAATCCCGATAGTTTTACCGGAAAAACGCGATAAGCGATGTCGGAGAATGGATTCGGTGAAATATAGAGATATTTTCAGACTTACGTCGAACGAACGCGCCGCTGGCTTTACTCGATAATCCACCTTGTATCTCGCCGAAAGCTCGAACCGTTTTGCGAAAAAAACTTACAATAAAGAGCCAGATTTGCTTGCTTGGGTTTTATTGTGGCGTTAACTTTAACGCGCAAAACGTCGCCGTTAAACGAGCCATCGGAACGTTCGGGAAGATAAATCCGGGAATTAATCCCGGAAAGAGGCGGGATCGTGAATGGCGGGTACTGGGTTCGTTATAAATACACTAAATATCAGACACAGAAAATACTAAAGAGATGGTCAATGCCTAACCAAATTTATTGTTTGGTTAATTGTGGTTCCGCAATTCTATTTATTTTTTTACGTCCCAGTTTGTATCAAAAATTATTTATTGCTGCATAATAATTTCTGAAATCACGATAAAAAGTATCACATTTTAAATAACTAATCTGCAGCAGTAATATTTCATATTTTTGTTGCAGATATACAGCATGTGCCGAAATTGTGTAAGCTACCTATGTTCGTTGATGATATCAACTCTGTTTAAGTTTCGAGTCTCAAGAAAAAACACTGCAGGGAAAAGTAAAAATAGTAAAGACTTGATAACTGAGATCATGTTGTCAGTTTTAAAACTGACAAAAAATGATAGTGTAAGAACTGTCAGAAACTTGGGTGTTGTTCTCGACTCGCAACTTAGTTTCATTAGTTACGTTAAAACAAGTTATGCCTCCAGACATGTAATGGATGAAGACTAATTTGTTCGTGTTATCCCGCTTATAAATTATTACGATCTTCAGAAAAGTGTGTTTACAAAATGGGTGTCCTTTGTAATGAGATCGCAAGGGGTGATTCGCTGGTCGAAACCTTCTCCATTACAGGGAGGGTTATCTTCGTCAGTTACTTTCTAATTGCGCGAGTTTGCTCCACGTAAAATTTAATTGCCGCCATTAACGACGTGTCGAGCTGTATATGAAGCTCCTTCCCGCGTAATGAATCCCATTTCTGGGAGCGATTGCATCGGCTTTTCTAAGGACGCCGGCGTTGGATTCCGTTTCCCGTTCGCCACATCTCCTAATTCGTTTTTTTCCTGTTTACTATTTTGACGGGTCGTTATCAGATGAAGAATTTCCCGAAGTGTCGACACAAAATCGATTACGTTTCGTGATTCCTTCGCGCTAAAAAACGCTATTGTGTCTTTCTTAACAGGAAAAACGGTTTAATTAAAACGTTCCAGAGCGATCTATTGTTGGGCGCTTGGAATTGGACGATCTCGTCTCAAATGACCTCTCCGTCGAATCGTTGGGACAAAGCGCCGAATGTGGCGGATGTGGTTATCCGCAGGAGTTCGAAAGTCGATACGTGTGTCTGCTATTTTAGCTGGCGATCGCTCGAAGAGTCTTCCTATTAAATTGCGGCCTTGGGACACACCTTCATTATTCTAGATTTACCAATGGGTCGTTCCATCATGCTGACAAAACGCAAAAGTTTGCAGACGAGCGATTACGTAGCGGTCGTGAGAGGCAGGGCCGGAGCTGGGGATTTTCGGAAGGGGAAGAAGGTCGTGGAGTTGCAGAAATGATGAGAGAGGCGATTCGCGAGGAAGTTGTGTCGTAACGGAAAGTTTGGGGGTCGTAAAATCGATGCCGATAATTTACTACTTGACCGCACTAGCGGCGAAGTCTTGTCATAACATGACAAAAGCGTTGTTAATTATCTCATGGGGCACCAGGTTGAGGGTTTAGCTTTGAATTTAATCTGGCCCGGCGATGTTCATATTGAAACCATTTTTCGTTTTTGTTGTGTATAGTGTGGATTAACACTCAGAAACACGTTCCTAGAAGTTTCCAGTTACTGAGATCAGTTCCTTTATGGTCTTGACAGTGTTGGCTCCAAACTCAGCAACCCGGCAAAAGAGCATTCATTCCTCTCCCGAGCACCCAAATCGATGACCATTTTCATATTCCATCTGGATCATTCCGCAACTGGCAGCTACAAAGTTTGTAACTTAATATTGTACGTCGGGAGAAATTGATTCACTAATAAGGCTACGTGTTTCCAATGTAAAGGAACGTCACGATCCGAAAAATATATTACAGGAAACCTTTAACAATTCGGTTCGAATTTAAATTACGACGCAGAGAATTCAAATTTCGCAGCCGGAGAAATTTCGCTCTTATATGTATGTTGCGCTCAATGTTTATGCATCTATTACCATAATGGTCCCTCCATCCGAGGAGCCAAACCGAGATATGGTTCAACGCAAACTGAAATTGCGGTCGCCATTAATGTTTGCTAAAATGCGGTGGTCCGGCTGCTGAAAGATTCAAGATCATTTGGGAAACACAGTTAAACGGCCCGGAGGAAGTGGATTTTTGGCCCATTATCGCGTAATTCGGCCAGGTGTGTGGAACAGTTTTCGCGGAAAGGTCAGCGGCGAGATCAATTTCTAGATTAGGTAACGTGTTGAGCCGCTCTAAGTAGCTGCATGTTGTTAATTATTGCGAACACGAGATTAATTATTGTAAATGGGACGGCGAAGCAGCTTGGTGTCGCCGGAATGTGGAGTTATGCCACCGTAAATTCGTTTGGCGAATTTTGTATCATCGCGGTATTATTAGATTGTAATGGGAGTGGATCGGCGGCGAAGAAGTTCCCATAAAGTGTATTTTGCTGTTGGCACGGAAGTAATCTTTGCGGAATTATGTTTCAAAGCGGGTTTCATATGGGAAGGACCTTGCGGTAAATTAAGGATTCCGACCCTTCGTGCTGTCCAGGCAAATGTCCGGTACCTGGGCTTGTGATCTTGGGCTTATAATGAATGAATTTTCAGAGTGCAGATTAATTATGGTGGATTTCCGCCCTTCGTTTAGGGCTTTATTTTCGTGTTTAGCATTTCGGGCATATTTTGCATGTTTTTGTAGACCTGCGGCAGTTGGGCTGAATTAGCGAAAATAAAAGATTTATGTTTTGGAATAACAGTAGTTTAGGAAAGTTGCGGGAGTTGGTTTTGTAACGAAATTTAAATAGGGCGATTACAGCAAAAACTGGTAGGAAATAGCTTTCATGTTTTCAAACCAAAGTACTTAAGTTCTCAGGAAATAATTTGCTAAAAAACCGGAAAATGAGCTTTAATTTGAAACGACATAACGAACGGACTGTAAATTAATATAATTTGATGCAATTTGATCAACATGGTTAGTTCGACTGTCCAGTTAAGCTGAAGTTCACAAATTAAATAATTTGTTATAAATAGTTATATCGAATTGACAACTGGTGGTTGTATCCCATCAAGTTTTATTTGTACCCCTTAAGCCTTAAAGAGAAATTTATTTTCTCTCTCTTCGTTCCCTTATTTAAATCGGGCCATGATTACTAGCCCTTTTCTGTTTTCCGTTAGTTTCCTCTTCTTTTATCAATTTTTCCCTTTTTGTTTCTTCCCTCACTGTATACCCCGGTGTTTCTCTATCAAGACCTAGTGTCCATTTTACACCTCTTATTTGGATTCTCTTCACATCTTCGAACTCTGTCCACCCCCAGATCTCTAACCCATATTTTTAACCCAACTATCAAACATCATGATACGTCTCTAGCATCCCCATCACCTTGCTAACTCTTTTGCCACCTCCTTTACTTCTGTGTTCCCACTTCCAAATTCTTAATTTTTTCTTCCGAACACCATTATTTTTGTCTTATCAATATTTACTTCAAATCCTTTCCTTTTCATAACACCATTCAAGATTTCTGATCATTTCTTTCATATCTTCTTCCGACATACCACAATGTCATCTAGATATACCAACAGACAAACCTTCTTTCTTTCAATCACTACCCCTCCTACCTGTAGTTTGCTAAACCTTTCTTCAAGATCTCCCATGTAAGCAGCGAAAAGACTTGAGCTCAGGGGGGACCCCTGTTTTACACCATTTATCGTGTCAAAATTTTTCTCCTGTTTCCATTCACTCTTATTGATCGTTGAGTTTTTGTCCCTAGTTGTCTTTATACTTCTTCCTTTGTCATTGGCTCCACTTTGTAATTTTCGTCTTTTTCTTTTATTTCAGTCGCTTCTTGTTTTTCTCTGCTCTCTGCTGTCAGCAATTCCATGAAATATTTTCCTAAATCTGCATCCAAATTTTTTCACTTACAGTTTCTTCCTCTTCCTATTATTACGTTTCGGGGGCGAATAAAATTGGCGTGGATTAAAACTCAACAATTTATTTCTTAGTAACTGGTATTTACACGACTAACTATTGCCACGATTATGTACAGAAATTATTCCGGCGTTCCGTTCCCGACGGACGCCTCTATTTAAACCCCTACTTCTCCGATCGAGATCTTTCTCGAATATCCATCGCGACTCCGCTTCGAGATTTCCCTGGACGCCGCTTCGAGACTTCCGGTAACCGGCTCCAGACTTGTCTTTATGCGCCCGCCGCTCGGCCGTCGATGAGTCATCCTTCATCGACACACATACTAGTAAAACCCATAGGCGTCGCACCGAGGCGGTAATGGGTTCATTTCGTAACACTATTATCTTTTGGTATTTCGATTTTCTTAATACATTCCTGTTTTTTTTTTTAAAACGTAACATTCCTCTTTCCATCAGTCATTTTTTTCGTTCTTCGTTTCATCTTACACTAACTTCTACCATCATTTATGGAGTTGTTTCATTAGCCCCCCCATTCTATATTATCCTCAAATATTTTCTTGCTTTCTCCTCCTCTTTTTCCTGTTTTCTCCATGATTTTTCATTCTCTATATTATAATTTATTACCGATTGTCCTGTCGTTCCTAGATAGGTTAATTTGCTTTCATCACTAGTTTTATTTCCATTCGAGATTCCTTCAGTTGCTTTCCTTCCTTATTTGCACCTTTATCTTTGGATATTCTTTTTCCATCATGTTCTGAATTGCCTAGTCTTCCTCCCTTTTCTGTCATTCTTGCATTGAAATCTCCGTCCACAATTACATAGTCGCCATCATTTATTTCTACTTTGTCTTTTAATTTTTTCGACATTTTGTTCTGTCTGTCTGTCTGTCTGTCTGCTGTTTGTATCCATTTTTATTAGACATGTAATCTCCGAAACTGCTGGACCGATTGTTGTCAAATTTTGTATGTGTATTAGGAACATCATGTACAATTTGATGACGTAATTTCGAAGAATTATGTCTTTATTTGAATTAACTGTTATACAACAAAATATTCCTATGAGTGTGGTGTACGAATCCGCTTTAATTTTTTCTCTAGTCGTCAAAAAATTTTTGCAAAAACGTAAAGCACGGTAGAATAGTAGTTTATCATTAGCGTAAGGCATCCCGGTCGTGGTCTAGTGGTTAAGGCCGAGGAATGCGGACCGGACGTCGCGCGTTCGATTCCAAGTTGGCCTTTCGTTTTTTCCATTTTTTTCTCGTGCATTGTGGAATATCTATGTTTATGACGTCATAGAAAATTTTTTATTGGTAAAATTAAGAATGAATCACCCAATTTTCTCAAAAAATGTGAGTATACG